GCCCTCTCGGGGCCGTGCGGGCCGCGCCCGCCTCGCCGGGGCGGGGCGCGCGCCCGTCTCTCTCGGGCCGGACGCGCCGCGGCGGCCTGGGCCGCGGCGCCGGTGTCATTCTCTCTCTCTCGAGCCTCCGCACGGGCCGTTCGGCTCTCTCTCTGTCTTCCGGGGCCGTCCCGGGCGGGCCCGCTCTTGCCCGACCGGCGCCCTTTGCCCTCCGACTCCCCTCGTTTCAATCCCGCGGTCCGCCGGGTCCCCCGGGGAGGGGGCCCGCCTCGGTCCGCCGCCCGGCGGGCTGCTGCCCGCCGCCCGTTTCCGCCGCCGGGGCTGCGGCTCGGCGCCCCGCCTGCTGCCGCCCGCCGCGGGGAGTGCGGCGGGCGTGATCGGGGGTCCCGCCCGGCGGTCGAGGTGCGAGGGGGCCTGGGCTCCCCGACTCTCGTCCGCCCGCGCGGGCCGTCTGATTGCCATGGGTTCCGGGACCCGGCGGGATGTCGGGGCGGACCCGCCCCACGCGGGCGGGCCGGCCCCGGCGCTCCCATCGCACCGTGCCGGGCCAATCCGAGTGCTCGCCGGACCGAAGGCCCGAACTGCACGACAAGAGGGAGGGGAGCGGCCGACGCTCTCCGCCCGGGGGCCGCCGCGGGGCCCCCTCGGTTCTCCGTCCGTTCCAAATTTTCTCCCGAAAAAAAAAAGTCCGAGGGTCCCGACCCACCGTGCCCCGCCGCAAGGCCCACGGGGGACTCTCGGGGGCCGGCCCGCCACGCCCGGCCCCGCCTCAAACGCTTCGGACTTGCCTCGCAAAAAGTCCGAGGGGACCCGACCCACCGTGCCTCGCCGCAAGGACACACGGGGGACTCTCGGGGGCCGGCCCGCCACGCCCGGCCCCGCCTCAAAGGCGTCGGACTTGCCTGCAAAAAAGTCCGAGGGGACCCGACCCACCGTGCCACGCCGCCTGGCCCACCGGGGGACTCACGGGGGCCGGCCCGCCACGCCCGGCCCCGCCTCAAACGCTTCGGACTTGCCTGCAAAAAAGTCCGAGGGGACCCGACCCACCGTGCCCCGCCGCCTGGCCACCGGGGGACTCTCGGGGGCCGGCCCGCCACGCCCGGCCCCGCCTCAAACGCTTCGGACTTGCCTGCAAAAAAGTCCGAGGGGACCCGACCCACCGTGCCTGGCCGCAAGGCCCACGGGGGACTCTCTCGGGGGCCGGCCCGCCACGCCCGGCCCCGCCTCAAACGCTTCGGACTTGCCTGCCAAAAAGTCCGAGGGGTACCCGACCCACCGTGCCCCGCCGCCTGGCCCACCGGGGACTCTCGGGGGCCGGCCCGCCACGCCCTGCACACTCTGGACTTCTCCTGCAAAAAGTCCGGCCCGACCCCCTTACCGAGCCCGTCTAGTTCCTCTCGTGGGTCGGACACAGGGGATTGCCCATGTGGTGGCCCGCTCCATATGTTTTGTGCACAGCTCTGGACCACCACCCCCTTATATATAGGCACACCATGGCGATTGCCTCTCTTTGGGGCTCTCCCATAGGGTTGTGTAGAAAAAATTCCTTAAATCGGCTGTCGAGTTTGGGGCGAGTTGGTCGCGTGGGCCAAACGGCGCGATTTGCCCACGACAGGGACTCCGGCGCCCGTTCTCGGACTCGACCCAATCCGTACAAATGTCGCGTTTTGGGGGCGACTTGTGCGGGCCGTCCGAAGCGCCCAAAAGACCCACTGGAAGGCTCGGCCCCGTCCGGTGAATTTTTCCGCTTCGGACTTTTCCTCCAGAAGTCCGAGAAGACCTAAACACCGTGCCTGGCCCGAAAGGCCCGTGGGGGACTTCCGGGGGGCCGGTCCGCAATCTCCGGTCGCGCCTGCATCTTCGGACTTGTGCTCCAGAAGTCCGAGGGGCCATACCCCACCGTGCCTGTCCGCAAGGCCCACGGGGGACTCTCGGGGGGGCCGGTCCGCGATCTCCGGTCCCGCCTGCATGTTCGGACTTGTCCTCCAGAAGTCCGGGCGGCCCTATCCCACCGTGCCTGTCCGCAAGGCCCACGGGGGACTCTCGGGGGGCCGGTCCGCAATCTCCGGTCGCGCCTGCATCTTCGGACTTGTGCTCCAGAAGTCCGAGGGGCCATACCCCACCGTGCCTGTCCGCAAGGCCCACGGGGGACTCTCGGGGGGCCGGTCCGCGATCTCCGGTCCTGCCTGCATGTTCGGACTTGTCCTCCAGAAGTCCGGGCGGCCCTATCCCACCGTGCCTGTCCGCAAGGCCCACGGGGGACTCTCGGGGGGCCGGTCCGCGATCTCCGGTCCCGCCTGCATGGTCGGACTTGTGCTCCAAAAGTCCGAGGGGCCATACCCCACCGTGCCTGTCCGCAAGGCCCACGGGGGACTCTCGGGGGGCCGGTCCGCAATCTCCGGTCCTGACTGCATGTTCGGACTTGTCCTCCAGAAGTCCGGGCGGCCCTATCCCACCGTGCCTGTCCGCAAGGCCCACGGGGGACTCTCGGGGGGCCGAT